ATTTTTTTTTTTTTTTTTTGTTTAACTTTTATGTTAGTGTAATGCCTAACGAATCCCAGATTAGACAAGCACGATGCAGTTTTCACCGAACTGAGTTATAGAATACAACAAGATAATCCAATTACCAGGTGCTCTTAGCAGAAGCATATAGAAAATAAAATGAACACCTTGTTTCTGAAAGCTTTTGCTGCCTCTTCAAATGTGGATATCAGCTCCAACGAATATTTTGTTGAAAACAGCCACAGCTGAGCGAACAAATAGACATGTTAACTAATCATGAAGTTCTATCGTCAGGAAAATAGACTTAAGGACTTGCCTGTTTCATAGGATTGCCTAAATTACGTGAAGCATCGGCTACCGTAAAAGTGATCACCGAAGGCGCGTTGTTTGTGGATACAGGGTCAGATATCTCTGATTTGGTGAATTGAAAGTGGTTAGTGGATACAAAGTCAGATATTTCTGATTCGGTGAATAGACCGTCTGCAGAAAGAAGAGTAGAATCGATCGTTAAAGGTCAAATAACTTGTATGGAATTTCGCCGAACTATTGACTCGCAAAGTGATGAAACTAACCAAAACCAACATGGCTACAATTTGCAATCTCCCATTTCAGCATGACTAAAGCAGGAGGTTTGATTTGTGGGTCAATGCGAAACAGCCTTGCAACATCAACATTATCAGTTTGATAGAAATTGATATCGGCATGCAGTCTGGAAGCAGCAGCAAGCTCCTTGGCATCTGAACCCTGCCATTTTTTAGGAAAGATTTAACTTGCGAGCAGATGAGAAATATTTGCACTTTTCCATCATAAATATTTATCAAGTTCAAAAATTTGAAGTTCATATGGAATCGATCAATCTGAGTGCAGTGATTATGAGCTCCTTAAATTTTATCGACTGGTATGGTAGTGAGTTGGACAGATTACATCATGAAAATAGAAATTGAAAAATATTATTCATTAGATGGAAATGAAAATATTACCAAGCAGGGACTAACCTCTAAAGTGTCAAGGAATCCCATCACGATCACAGAATTAGTCCTCAATATCATATGAGCCTCCTTTGTTGTTGATACAGTTTGAGCAACCAGGCCATTTTTCTGCCTCATCCAAGATGCAATAGCATCTCTTTTCATGAAATAAAATTAAAATTAAAAAAGAAGAAGAAGAAGACATTGCATTAAAAAAAATGAAACAGAACGTCCCAAATTTTCACATCTGTCAGAAATTAAAGAACCAAAAGGGCTAGCCGATAAAGCATCGATAGTTGTACTAGGTCAAGCCAAAGGTTCTGCAAATTAAAGTCGTAGATTTGAACCCTCCAAATACATGCAAAAAAAAGAAAAAGAAAAAATGGATCTCACCTGGTCCTTTCACCAAAATAGCTAGCCTTTTGAATTCCACCAGCAAATAAAAGCAGAGAAGGATACCCCTGAATTTTATACTTCCTTCCCAGCCCCATTTCTACTGTAGCATCAACTTTTGCAAGCACGGCCTCACCTTTCAGTAGGGTAGCAGCAGCAGAGTATTCTGGTGCCAACTTACGACTCCAATAGCACCATGATGCATAGAACTCCACCATCACATACGGATTTGTAGCAATGAAATCACCGAAGTTCTTCTCTGTAAGCACCGCCACATCCTTCTCTGTGAGCACCACCACATCCTTCTCATCAACCACTGGATTCTCTGGCCAAGAGTTAGTCCCTTGATTCTCAAGGCCCTCATCATAATAGACATCCTTGTGGGTGTTGCTTTCCAAGATGAAGGTGTCTTCCTGGTGTTTAAAGAATGAAAGAACTAGTGGAAGTGATGATGGGAGATGGGAGACAGGAGAAAGCCATAAGATGGTGAGGAGGACTGAAGTGAAGAGAAAGAGAGAGATTCCTGCAGCTCTTGACATTGCTGATGAGACATACACGCAGGAGGAAATGACGAGGGGAGAGTTGTCTTGTGTTGACGGGAGCAGGAACGAGAAGGCGTTGATCGAAAATATTTGTTGATTTTTAAAGTTTATTTTTCTATAAATATATTAAAATAATATTATTTTATTTTTATATCAATAAATTAAAAAAAAAAAAAAATTAAGCAACTCTTGACATGCTTGATGAGAAATACACCAAAAAAATAAAAATGATGAGGTAAGAGTTATCTATAGTATATTTTGATGAGAGCAAGAATGAGAAGACGTCGATTTCTTTAATGAGAAAGATGGTTGCCAGATGTACGTCATCTCAATGGAGTCATTTGAGTGGTTATAGTCCGTCTTATATTTAACATAGACCGATAATGTAAGATAACTTGCCACTTTGTTGATATAAAACATAATCTGAGCTGGAATTTATATTAAATAAAGTGGGGATTGATTTAGTTAATCTAGTTAAAAATTCAGGTAAAATCTAATTTAATTTTTTTAAAAATTTATAACCATGTTGTTTTAATTTTTAAAAAAATATTAAAACAATATTGTGTTAAATTGATCTATCCAATATATCGTGGCATCACATAAGCTTGATGACAAATTTATTAATAGTTCGATCGTTATTTTTTATGAAGACTAACTTTGGAAACATAACCAAAACATAGAGTAATAAGTATTTGAGTGGTTATAGCGTGGGCAAATTTGATCATAAAACTTAACGTAATTAAGACATGGTAGATGACAAATTTGCAGTAGATTAATAGTTTATCTTTGAAAACTAGCTTTGTAAACGTAAACAAAATGCACAGTAATAAGTAATCATATCTTGTTCACTTGTTTTTTCCAACAATGAATTAATGGGGTATTAATTAGAGGGTATACAACGGCCTGCAAAGGCAGACTCTTACAGATTCTCACAGAAGGAGCACCATTCTTTTGCATGGCAGCAATGACATGTATACAAGTTACTGCTTACAATTCAGTTTTAACCATGCTACGCATTTGGAATCAAAGATGATGAGAGTTTATGAGAATCTGATGTCGAAGATCTTTCTTTCATGGTGGAACTGGTTGAATCGAAAGCTTTATCTTCCAGAAATTCTTCAGAAGATGACTGCGCCATTATTTAGTAGATGTATTAAAGATCTTCCGAAGTGTAAGGAAAAAACATATCAAGGAGTAGTAGAATGATGATGATGATGATGATCATTCCTGTTTAATTGTTCAGCCAAAAGTTCTCAAGAAAAATCCAGTAAAAGTAGCTCACGCACCTTAATACCACCAAAGGTCAGTTCACCTTGATATAAATACTTGAAATCACCCTTAGCCATGTAAGCTACGAGCCTGCATATATAAGCACGAATCATTTCCAGAAATCTTTAGAACATTTTGATGAACTTTTAGTCCGGTAAAACTCATTAGATACACAAAAGGAACATAGAAGAAATGAAACAAATGCTTTCCATTTTTTTCCCTTTTCCCTTTCTGTTTTCAGAGATATAGGAGAGGAGTGGTCTAGGGAGTGCTCACTCTTGAAGAACCTTCAGACAGTCCAAAAGGCTTGAGCATTATGAGTTTACATGAACTGAATTTTCACAGCGACTTGAGAATGTAACTGGATTGTCTTCTTCTTGGTAGATCAAACATTTTTCCCTTTGTTTTCCATGTCTAATGCATGAAGTGGATTTTAATTCGAAACCAAGTTATGCGACTTTTCATAGAGTTATATCCAGTTTCCACATGGAAGAAGAGAAGTTACAGCAAACCCAACAATTATATAGTAGTTTTCGCTTGTGAGGATTGAAAACTCGAATTGAGGTACCATTTTACAGTTTGTTGCAAAAGCTGCAGTAGAATATATAGCTTCAGTATCAACAACAACCACTTCTCAGCATATCAAATTCATATCTGGTCTGATAAAAAAAAAAAAAAAATCATATCTGGGTTGTCTTGTCTATGTATTACACTTTCAAGAACAAAAGTAGAGGAATATGAGATCATACAATGCTGCACGCTTCAAGTTGTGTCCTGTGATGGTGTAGTTATTGTTACAGAATACTGGAGTAAGTACAAAAAAATAGTATTACCTTCCCTTTGAAATGGCCTGCTGCCCCACCTAATTTGTATATATATATTTGATTAAGTTAATTTTGGTTAAAAAAATAGTTATTTTTTAATTTTTATTTTTTAATATTTAATTGATTTGAAATTAAATTTTATAATGTTTTTTTTTTTGCTTTTTATAAAGTTATTCTTATTTTATTACTTAAGTCTACGTATTTGGTGAGGTAACTTGAATTAACTCAAGTTATTTTTTTATTTTTTTATTTTATCATTTAACATTAGAATTACTTATCTTAAGTTGCGAGTTAACTCAAGTTTATTTTTATCTTTTTTTAGTTTATTTTTTTCTTAATTTAATCTTTTAACATTTGATTGATTTGAAATTAAGCTTTCTTTTTTCTTTTTATAGTGTTATCTTGATCCCATTATCTAAGTCGCGAGTTTGATTGATTATCTTAAATTGACTCAATATTTTTTTAAATTAATATTTTTTCATTTCATTTTTCAATATTAAATTAATTAAAATTTTAGCATCATAATTTGTTTTATTTTACTTTTTTTATAGAGTTATTATAATTGTAAGATCTAAGTTGCAATTTTAATAGGCTAACTTAAATTAAATTTAGTTGTTTGTTTTCTAGTCTCTCTTTTTAAATGAATTTATTTTTTTCAATTTAATCCTACAATATCGATTTAATTAAGAATTAACTTTTATATTTAATTTTAATTTGTTTTTTATGAGGTCATTTTAATTTCATGATTTGAGTTAAAAACTTAATAGATTAACTTAAATTAATTCAATATATTTTTATTTTAATATTTTTAATTAAATTATATTTTTAATAATTTTACTACCAAATCAACTAAATTACATCAGATTAATTAAGTTATATTAAATCAACTCTTAATATAAAGCAATGATCTAAGTATATTCTAATTACAAAAGTAAATTACAGAATATGATGGAGTTGATTAGTCAAACTTATTTTAAACTTGAGTCAACATTAACTAAAAAAATTATAATCAATAAAAAAAAAAGCGATTCAATAAGATTTCTCTTTTTCAAATTAATTCCCAAATTCAGTCTACAATCATAAATAATAACAAAAAGAAACTTTAAAAATCACAAGAAAATACAAATTTTAGGGCAACGTCCCATTCCTCTGTTAATTCCGTCACCTACCATATTAAAAATCACAGGTTGCCCAGCGCCATAATCCTCGGGTCACAGGTTTACTGGTCATTATCTTTATAATTTCAGAGATTAGTTCAAGTGCACCTACACTGGTACAGATACTCGCGAATACCAAAAAAAAAAAATCACAGGTTGCCCCTTGGCTGGTACATGTTATGATCCATGACTGCACCCGCTAAAATATTACCACATTAAATTATCTGAAAGAAGATTTTCCTACCAGTAACAAAGAACATATCACGCGCCACCATCGCTGGTAGCAGCGTGAGCTACATCCCCATCCTTCTTATAGCGTTCGGCACGGTTTTGGAGCCACTCGACCATATCCCCAAACACCAAATTCACATTCTCCTCGGGCTCACCGATCAATTGATGCCACATCCCAGAATACATCTTCAATGTCTTGTCAGCACTCGCAGCGCGTTCATACAACTCCTTGGCGCTCGCAGGGTCGCACACCACGTCATCACCACCATGCACAACCAACAAAGGCACATCCACCTCCTCAAACCTCCCTTGAAGTTCCTTACACACTCTCATAAACTCGTATGCCGTAGCCGCGCGCGGCCTCATTGTCACCCTCCTCGGGCTCGCATACCCCAACTTCCGCTTCCACTCCTCCTTGAACGACAACTCAGGAATCGACCCGCGAGTGGGAATCACGCTCCAAGTGGGTACCACCGCCGCGACTACGAAAAGCAAGTGCTCCAACGGCCACGGTGGCTTGAACTTGGCACTAATTCCGCACATAGCCCCATTCAAAATCAACCCATCCCACACGCCTCTCTGACGGAGCGTAACGTACAAAGCTATCGCCCCACCCAGGGATTCCGAGTACAGAAAACCCGGCAAATTGGGCGCGTGAGTCTCGCGAAAAGTCTTAAAATACCGCATGCAATCTTCCACAACTGGGTTGATATCTGGGATGTGATATATCAAGTTGTCAAGCCCATCAGAGAAGCCATGGCCTTGGTGATCAATAGCGCAGACAACGAACCCATGTTCAGCAAAGAGAATTGAAGTTAATTGGACGAACCAGCTGGATTCACCGGTGAAGCCATGGACAACGGCTACGCAGCCAATAGTTTTCGTCGGGGGAAGTGGGGTCCACCATTGAGTGAAGAGCTTGAGACCCCGGGTGTTGGTGATGTATTCGGAATTGTGGGTGACTTGGTGTTTGGCGTAGAATTCAGATGGGGAAAGGGTCCCGAATGGGCTTTGATCGTTGGCTTCTGCCACTGGGTGCTGCACCATTTTTTTATTTTTCTTTGGTCTGTTGGGGGGTAAGGGTGTCGGCGGGGAGGAGTTATGAAGAGAGTGAGCGAGGGAAGGTGGGGATTATTGAAAGTGTGATTATGGATTTTATCGGGAGTTTGGGTTTGGGGTATTTATTTGATTGGTTTGGAGGGGTGGGGATTCAGTGGTTTTGGAGCATGGCGTGCTTGCATGCATATGAGAAGAAACCAAAATTAATTATTGGGCAAGCTCTTAAAAAATAACTATTGGGTTGGAATTAATTTTATACTTAAATAATTTTTATTTCTCAGTTGGATTTTTTTTTTAAATTTTTTGATAGATATAAAATGAAAAGATAGTCCCACGATAATGGCCTTTTTTTTTTATAAACCAGAAATAATTATTGAGCAAAGACTTTTGAGCACAAAAAAATCAATTATATAACTAAATTGGTTATTGGTTATTTATTGAAGTCCACTTTAAATAAAAAAGACAGATAAAAACATAAAATATAAAAAAACATAAGAATTCTACCTAAGACTTCTCTATCCTCCTTGCATGTATCACTTTCTTCAAAGTGAGTATCATGAAGTGAGATTTTCTTAGTTACTCTCTCAACATTGTAAAACCATTCATTATATTAAATAATAAAATTATAAATTTTACGTGTAGCCCATGATAATATAACTATGACAATTTGTTTATGAGTGATAGATGACAATGTGATTCACATGAAAAAAATAACAACAATTTTGGAATTGCATTTCAAACCCTGTTTTTTAAAAATTTAATTTTTATCTATATTTTAAAATTATTTTGATGTGTTAATATGAAAAATAATTTTAATAAAATAAAATAATATTATTTTTATATATTTATAAACAAAAAATATTTTAAAAAATAATTATCACCACAATTTAAAACACCACCTTTAACACAAAGGAGCCATCTTATAGTTATAAAGTAAGTGTTTGATTGATTGAAATTGTGATCATTTATGTTGTTTAAAATATTTTTTATTAAAAAATTAAATTAATACTTTTTAAACTATTTTAATGATTTTAATACATTGATATTAAAAATAAAAAAATATTTTGATATATTTTTAATTGAAAAATGCTTTAAAAAACATATTACTAAACTGCACTAAACGCTCAGTATTTTTAATTTTTTAGAGAGCGATACAGTATTTTTAGTATTTAAAAGCCGTGAGAAGTTGGTGCGGTGATTCAAGGCGATCAAAGTTTTGATTAATTATTTTCAAAACAAGGAGGACTAATTGGTTATTTTAGAAAAACAGGAACTAATTTGTATTTTTAGAAAAATAAGAATAAAATAAATAATTATTAAAAACACATCTTAAACACAAAAACAAAAACACTCAAACTATAACTCCAGCATTAATGGTGGCGTTGGCAGTGCAACTAACTCGTCTTGATTTTTAAGATGAGTGTCGGCTGTCTCTGTCATCGTGGAAAAGTCTGGTTAGTGCGGGACGTGGATCTGCTCAGTTACAGTTATGGATTGGTTTTTCTGATAAATGATTATATCTCTCACATGAAAATTAACCAGTCTCGCTTACTTTTACGTGAACGTGAAAGCAGAAAGTATTGATTGGAGAATAATACTAAAAAACCCATTTTTTTTTACCAAAAACACTCATAAAACATTGTAACAATTATGATAAATCTATATACAGACTTAAAAAACCACCACAGAAATTAAAATTAATTCGAATTTAAAAACCAACTCTAGTTCATATATATTTTTTATAAATTTTAAAAATAATAAAAAAATACTTAATATGCACTCCTCTCATCAAATAAAATTATTTATTACAAATATTATTTATTTTAATAGCTTAAATCGTTAACAATATTTCTTTTTCTCTTTGATTGGAATTTAATGACCTCTCTCTCATCTTCCAATTAGAAACTAAAAAAGTCACACAAATAAATTTTTGTGTTGAAATTGAATTGAAAAAATATCAATGCACTAAAATTATATAATTGCATGATTTTTAAAGTTCAAGAATTAAATTGCATCTTTTATAAAAATATAGCATGCCATCCATATGTGATGCTTTTTTATTTCGACCCTCTTCTTTCAATCTTATATTTTCCGGTTTTTCCTATACCTAAAAGACTGGCACCTCCTTCAGATTCTAGAAAGTAGAAGACAAGGATAAACCAGACCTAGGTCCCCTTCTATAAGGCTAGTCTAGGTTAGTAAATAAAGTATAGGATAGTCAAGTCAGTCTCAAGAAATTAAAATTAATTGTTTTTCAATTGAAACTAAATTGCTTGAAAAAAAGTTGAAGGATCAAATTAAAAAAAATTAAAATGTTACACAGCAGAGGATGAGCGAGCCTTGTATAGTAAAAACCCATGCTTTTTAGAATAATAGGTAATTATGAGACCAGTTTATGCATGAGTTGCTAGACTAAATCTATACAACAATGTTATCTAACCTAGAGGACTTTCCACACAACCTAACCATAGCGTGTCTGAATGAGCAACCTTGTTAGTTTGTAACGAACTAACGATAGGAAATTGGATGATTACCTAGGTTTTCTGATCTAGAAAAAACTGCAATGTTGTCTCCAGAACAGTACCGATTCTGTTGTGCCATTTGTATTAATAACCACCCAATCTCTGCAAGACCGCTCTCCCATCGTAAAATCATCTCTTCTCATCCAATCTCAATCGGTATACCTCCCTCCCTCTCTCTCTCTCAAGTGAGAGCTATTCCATCCTGCCATTCATCAGCTTTATGCTTGAGGTTTGATAAGATCGAGGTGTATTTCACCGTACCAAATGGAAAGAGATTATTTTAAGAATTGTTTGATCCAAGGAAAGGAGAGGGAGGGTGGGGAGGCTGGAGGTTTTCGTGGTTGCACAAATATTCGATCGTAGTTAGAGGACAACTACAGATGATAATTTTAATGAATGTTTCCCTGACACGAACACGGACAGTGCACCCTGTAACTTGTGCAAAATGAACTAACAGCATAATCTCCAGATAGAAACATTAAGCTTACTGCATACTCTCAACGGCATGATATCAGTTTTGATCACAAATCACTTCATTTTCTATTAAGAATGAAGTCCGTGACGCTAGCAAACACTAACACCTAAACTGTACAATTCCTGTCCCACCTTCTGAAATATTATCTTCAAAAAGCAGATCCAGTGGCCTAACCCCTTCCAAAACAGCATCATTCCTCGTCTTGATCAACACAGGCTGAAAGAGAAAGAATTAATGTCAAATGGAAGTCTTTCTAGTCATATAACTAGCGCAGCTACTGTCATTTTCCAAAGTCCTTATGGCAAATAATGAATTCGGAAATCAGAACCCTTTGTGTTCAATTTATCAGACATGCTGCCGGTTTGGTACTGCAGCAAAAACATGAAAAGTCATGCTTTTTGATGCGGTGCAACCGTGCACCTGCGTTTGTGCTGCAAAATGAAGCCTGGTAGAATCCATTCACCTCATTTGAGTATACACCCATAGTCCTTTTTAAAGATCACATACGAGGCGGACAGGTGGATACCACCCTGACAAAATTATCTCCAGTCTCTAAAAAGCAAATAATTTAGTGTGCGTGTGTGTGTGTGAGCACTATCAGGAAAATGGAAAATCCACAAGTGATTTAGCAAAGGGACAAGATTTTCCAAAGAAACAGGAATCGTCCAAGATACAAGCAACAACCCAGACAGGTGCCAACAAAGAACTTGATGAAAAGTTTATCAGAAAGAACAAGTTATTTAAGTATGATCAAGCGTCCAAGAAAGGTTGGAAGGGTATGCTATCGTTATTCATCACTTCACTACCAATAAAAAATCTCGATTGGATCATCACTCTTAAAACCACTTGCTTTCTACGTAGTCCCTCACAATCACTCCAGTATATTGCATCTTATTACCCACAACTTAAAAACACAAAGTCCACCTTAAAACCACCAAATTTAATGTTATCAGTGAGATATTAGTAATTGCCAAACTCAAATAAATGCCAGAAATCTGTTAAAAAGCCCAAGGGGGTGGAATGAGCCAACCAGCTCTACCGCATCATTTCCAGTTGCAAGAGTTTTCCCCTCATGCTATTGATTTATACTCCTAATCCAATCATCTATCAGAAAATGTAAAGAATACTGTTGCCCTTCAAATGCCCCCATGTTCTTACATTAGCAACACATGCTTAGCTAATCAGAAACAACCCCCAAGCTCATTTTTTCTTGGAGAAAAAACCTCCACCCCTTCAAGCATTGAGCTCATTTCCTGGAATAATGTGAGCCAAATGAATCCTGCTAGTTTGTAGATCAGCTCACAAATTACTCTAGCCAAAAAATAGAGCAGCCACAGGTGATTGATCTTTCCATCTTTATACATAACCCAATAATAATGCCACAGTTCTCAATTAATTCTTGGGAAATCTTCATTTTGATTTCTCAAAAGTGCTCTAGCCCAAAAATAGAGTAGCCACAGGTGCTTGATCTTTGCAGCTTCACACATCAGCCAATAATAACATCACAGTTCACAATTAATTGTTGGAAAATCTTCGCTTTTGATTTCTCTGAGCTTCCTAAGGAGATGTTCCAAATGAAACTACATATCACCCAACACCTCATCATATTGACGATATCATCATAGGGAAACGATTAATCCCTAAGCTATTCTAAATCCCATTCGGTCAAACAGTGCTTAAGTGGGTTATGCCAATAGTTTCTAGATTCAATAGAAAACCCTATATTTTAAAAGGCTATCACAATTAATTGAAGTGCTCATACAATACGAATCCTAAAACCATCTCTGACTTTATACATGTATAATCTTACTTGCTACGAAAACAATTAAACAATCATTCATGAGTCTAGCATTAAATCTAAGCACACTAACTCGACTCCAAGAACTCAACAAGTGGCTCTACACCGCCAAGTAGTATACTTATTCATATCATCACCTTCAATATCGCATGGAGTTTATCAAAGGAACACTCAAATCCTCAAACTTAAGTTCCAACGAATCGCACAGAAGCAATGAAGTGATTCTGAGAATCAAACCCCACAAATTAAGCTCATAAATAAACAAAAACCCAGATAAACAAACACCAATCCAAACACGAGCCCTCAAAAAAAAAAAAACTCACAAGATACACTAAAAAGGGCAAAAAGATTAAAACTTTACCTCCAAAACAGAAGCAACAGTAGCAACAAGTGATGACCATGAGAATCTCTCTGCAAATCATAACAGCTTTAGAATTGTTTGCTGGTTTCTGCTGGTTAGTGCTGTTCTCACCAGCATCATCCAAGAGTCTTTGCTGGTTGCTTTTGTCGTTGGCTTCTTGAGACTGCCGCTTCTTTTCACTATTCATTCTCTGAAGATTCCAGTCATATTTTTTCAAATATGAAATCTTGAATGACTCCCTTATCCTCATCGTAGGCCATAGATGCATCTTTCTTTTATTATTTGAAGGGGGCACAAGAAAAACGTAAGGTTTTTTTGTCTCTCCACGTCCACCTATCCTCTCGTTCTCCCTGTAGTAAGGTTTTCTTGGTTTGACAGACAGGCTGTTAAGAACGAAGGGAAACTATGTACATTATCCAACAAACGGCACCGTCACGATGACGTTTTTAGTCACTGTAGTTTTCAAAACAAATCAATTAATCCTTCTTTTGTCAAAAACTAATTAACTAGTCCAAACATTTTTAAAATCTGGTAATAACGTAAGTCTTTTGGGGAGTTCGATTTTAAAGTGTCGATGAGGTGTCCTTACTGCGATGCTTTATTTTCTTCTCAAAGTGCCCTATAAATTCATTAGAGTCCACCATCATCTTTCTTGTCTCTCCACGTCCACCTACCCTCTCTTTCTCCCTCCAGTAACACTGTGATAACCATCTTCTGCCTTTCTCCATTGCTTCCCACCCCCCCACCC